AGGTTGGCACCCACGGACCCCCACAGCCCCCACGGACCGCCCCCTCCGCTGCACCCCGGGAGGAACCAGCAGCCCCGGCCTGACCAAACCAGCCCAAAATGGAGCCCACCACCACACCGGAGCAGATCGCGCCAGGCCCCGGTGGGCAGCTGGGGCTGAGGGAGCCTAAAAGATGAGAGGATTTTCTGTTCTCACTGCCCGGGCCCGTGGGCAGGCCTTCCCTCACCTGCCTGTCTTCCTGCCCTGCAAAGCGGGTTTGAAATCGGCCTATGGGGTCAAAATTTGGGGATGAAAGCACACCCCTGCGAGTCTGGCACAACTCTTCCTCCTCCTCCTCCTCGTGGGGACACGGGACGGTTGGTGCTGAAGAAGAGGCCGCCTCATCCCAAGGACATCGTTAGCGGGATCGGGCCGGTCGCCCATCCCAAATGGGGGTTGCACGTTCACCCGCACAGGCAGCAGCTGTGGAAATGGCAATCCAGCATCCCGGCACCAGCAACTGGGCCGACAGCCAGCTGTCGGCACGGGGACCGACACCTGGGCCGCCCCAATGGCACCGACAGCCAGAAACACGCAGATGGAGGCCGGACCCAGGCCCGCATCGCCGGCGGGCAGTCATGCACCAAGTCACAGCGTAGCCGGGACCCCCACGCCCACGGCACAGGAGACGCCACGGAGTAGCACAGGGACCCCCCGAAAACCGCACGGGGACGTTTTTGCTGTCCTGGCACCAGTCACATGCACCACGGGCTCTGTACCACCAGCAAGCCAACACACAGCCCGGCACTACGGCACAGCCCAGCAGGAGTGAGGTGACATGGAGATACACAAACCGACCCCCCCGGACCTGCCTGCTCCTCGACACCCCTTTACTTGACAAATTCCCTCCCGCAAAACCCAGAATTCTCCCTCGTGCGCATCCCAGGCCACCATCCATGGTTCGTCCCCACTCACCCCGTGTCCCCCCTTGTCTCCCCCCACCCCGGGGCCACAATGACCCTGTAAATAATTTCTGGGCTCCCCACCCAGCGTGGTTTGTGTTTTGTACCCGCCTGGCTCTCGCTGAGCTCTGGCAGCTCCAGCTGCCACCAAATCGCATGTAACCGCTTCGACATCAGGCGGTGAGCCCAGTGCGGGCAGCCAACCATTTGCATTTCCGTGATCTCGCAGAGAAACCAGATTTGGGTTAAAACAAGGTTTAAAAATCAAGGAACCTTCCAGGTGGACTCCTTACACCGTTTTGCTCCAGCTCAGCTAGACTGAGTTCAAATTTTAAAACCAAAGATAGGGAAATCAGGTCTAATGCCATCCCCCAACACCTTGCCCCAGCCCGGGGACCCTTCCCACCCACCCCCCTAAACCGGGACGACCCCTC